AAAAAAAAAAAAAAAAAGACCCAAATCCTTACACCTGGACCAACAGACCACAGCATTTAAGCAGAGGAAAGATTGAACTTGCCCAAGCTTTCATTTTACCAGGGCCCCGTGAGCACTGGGGAGTCATTGTATGCCATTCAGAGAGTTCATGAGGGGGTCCCTGGCATGTAGAGCAGACATGTCAGTCAGCTGCCGGGGCTCAAGGCAACACATTTCACCCATGGCATTTAGGAAAGGAAAATGCTTACACCTCTTTTCCTCCGTTCAATAAAATTCCATTTCCTAGTCCCTCTCTTCATGTCCTATTCCTGTCATGCCAACGTTTCTGTGACCCGTGCTTTTAGTTATGCCAATTTAATTTTAAATTTGAGCTCCGGCCACCATTGAGCATCCCAAGCCACACAGCAGTATGCTGAATCTGTTGCCTCATGAAGAAAAATAAGGAAGGAAATAAAAATCGAGGCATCTATATAAACCAAGACACAGTTGGACCCATAGGGCAGGGAATGAGAAGGGCAGCCATGAAGAATGTCAACAAAGTAAAAAGAGAATCACCAGCCAAACGAATTCGGATTCTTTTGTTCTGATGAGGATGGAGATCAAAGCCAAACAAACCTCCCTGCCATTGAGTCGATGCTGACTCACAGGGACCCTGTAGGACAGAGTAGAACTTCCCCTGGGAGCTTCCAAGACTGTAATGGGAGTATGAAGCCCCATCTGCTCAGGAAGCTTCCCTAGACTGGTCTCTTCAGTGTGGGCTCCTTCAGAGATGGCTTTATGTTTCTGAGGAAGCCTTGGCCAAGTCTAAAGCAGAGTGGCCATTAAGAACGTAGATGGCTAACAGAGCTAGTTGACACTTTTTGTGCAAGCCATGAGACCTATTCACTCACAGAGTAAGATGAACTAACTTCCTTCTTCCTTCTTCTCAACCCCCCTGATGCCATCAGATTCCTCATCTGAGCACCCAGCTCATCCCATCAAAGCTCTCTCAAAGACATCCAGAGGTTCCCCATGGTCATGAGCAGAATCCAATGCCATGGCAATCCCGGGTCTTCATTAATGAGTATATCTGCTACCTCTTCCCCCACGAACCCTCTGTCACAGCTACATGGGACTGACCACCCACAGTGGCTTAAACATGGAGAGAACTTACATAGTCAAAGCCAATCCCAAATCTCTCCCCATAGAAGTGTGCCCTCTGGTTCACCCTAACATAGACAGGATCTTGGGAGATGCATCCCCCACCCCCACCACTATACATCCAAATACTTAGCTCCCACCACGCTGAACAAGCATGATCTATTCTGAAAATGATGGTGGTGCTCCAAAGATGTCTTAGAGCAGCCTGCATCTTTTTAATGCTCTGGAAGGATATTTATTTTAAATAAATATCCAAATTAAGCTCCGCGTCTTGCTGGCCTGGAGCTGCCGGGATAGGTGCTGGAGGGTTGGGTATGTGGATGGGAATGGTCTACGCTTCTCAGGGACCAATTCTAGAAAGTGACTCTCCTCTAGGGACCAGACCACAAAAGTCTCTAGACCTGGACATCGATCAAGACAAGGCTGAGCTCG